CACATCCCTCTATTCATTAAGAGAATGTAACTATGTATCTATCCTAACTACTCTGAATACACAGATACAAAATGGACATACATCTGTCTACTCTTTTTTGCTAAGTCCCGTTATTTGAGTATTATAGGTGTGCAAACTCAGCAAAATATTCTAAAAGAGTCCAGTAGTCCGTAATAGTATTGGGTCTTCTGCTTCACTGGCAATGTCAGAAATTGTTGACCTGAGTCCCCTACAGCTCAACATAAAAGCATGGCTTTACTTCCTATATTTCATCTTCATACTTTTCTACTGGATTAAGAACTCAACTTCTAAGGCACAATTCACGAAAGAAAAATTTCACAATCTTAACTTTTGTATCAATAGAATGAAAATCAAAGCCAGAGATGAGAGGAAATATTAGCAAAATCATTTTCAATAAAGTGGAATACACAAAGACTACTACAACTCAACAAGAAGAAGAAAGCCTCATTTTTAAAAATGAGCTAGATTTTAACACTGAAGAAAACATTGCTATGAAAACATAACATAAACAGGATGCTCTGGAGCGTGTCTTGAGGGAAATGTAAATTAAAGCAGTATGGAGAATCCACTATCTTCTTCCTAGAACGTCTAGAACTCAAAACATGGAAACACCAATGCCAGCAAAGATGTAGAGTAAAAGCAACTCTCACTCTTCGAGGTCAGAGGACAAAATGGCATTGATGCTATGGAGGACAATTTTGTGATTTCCTACATAATTAATCACAGCTTTACTATATGATAAGACATTAAGACTCTTTAATATCTACTTAAGGCTTAAACATGGTGTGCACTTGTGTTCTCACAAAAACTAGCATTCATCTATCAAAGTTCTGTCTATCAGTCTATCTAATGCATAAAGTACTTTTGTGTGTAAGAGCCCTTTTATATATCATTGACAAAATTGAAATCAACCAAGGAAAGCAGGCAGAGCTACAATGAAAATACTGCAGAATAAGTGGATTATGAAATTATAAAGAATTATATGCCAGCAATTTCAATAACGTAGGTGAAATGATGGCATTTCTGGAATCATTGTCCTACTAGAAGTAGAAATGCTTCAAGAAGGTTGACTCTTAGGTAACCCACTCAGGTCTCATTATGATCCTCTCTCAGACAGAATCTTTCTTTCCCCCAAAATATAGTCTGTTCCTTAAAAAAAAGAAGGTTGAACCTACAGTTACAAATCTCCCAATAAAGAAAAGGCTTCCACTGTCATTTAACTTGTCAATACTACCAAACATTTAGAAAATATTAACAACAACGTATTTCCCATGTATTACAAAATCTAGAAGCAGGAATACTTTTTAACTCCATCTAAAAATTGCTTGAAATTACTTTAACACCGAAGTGGGGCTAAGATACTACAAGGGGAAAAAAAACCCAATAAACTAATATCCTTAGAAATATTAATGAAAACTTACCCCAAATAATAAAAATAGTATTCAGCAACATATTAAAAGTATTAGAAATATTAGAAGTATTTATTCTCAGACTATAAGAAAGTTACAACATCTCCAATCAGTTAGTATTATATTCCACATTGCTAGAATGAAGATTAATAAATACATATCAGTTCATTTAGAAAAAAATAGACGAGTGCATCTATGTTTCTTCATAAAGCAGTATAATATATGAAAAGCCCGCAGTTAATATCACACTTTACAGATAAAGCTTTAAAGTTGCCTGCTAAGTCTGGGATATAGTGAAGATATTTGCATTTCTGTTTAACATGTCATTGAAAGTACTAGGCATTGATAGTCGACACAAAATAAGCAGTGATATTCTCCGTAAATGACATTGATATTGGAGACAAGCCACAAGCACATTCATACACTCGCAATTAGAGCTAAAACTTAATGTCAAAAAACTGCGGTAGGGCTTGGGAAATAGCTCGGCAGTCTAAGCGCCTGCCTGGCAAGCACAAAGACCCAGGTTCGATCCCTGGTACCTCATGCCACGCTGGCCCCGGAAACTCAGGCATGCAGCGTTGGTCACTGGAGCTGGGCATGGTGGTGCACACCTGTCATCCCAGAGCTGGGAAGGCCGAAACAGGAGGATCTCTATGAGTCTGAGCTGCGTAGTGAGAATTGTATTAAATAAATAAATAAATAATTTAAAAAACTTGTAGTATACAAAATCAGCCCACAAATGTCAGGTGAGTTTCTTTACACTAACAATGATAATCTAAAAGGAATCTGACAAATTCTATTTTAAATAGCATCAAAAATAAAATTCCTAAGAATCAGCTAAATAGAAATGGTACACATGCTGTATTAATGGGTTGAAATACATAATACTCTTAAGATGAAAATATAACCAAAAATTCACATATTCAATGTTTTCCCTATTAAAATCTCATTGATGTATTTGAACAAACAGAAAGATCTATATTGAAGTTCTTATAAAATCTCAAAAGTCCTCACATAGCAAAAGCAATCTTGAAAAAGATCAAGGTTAGATAGGTTAGAATTCTGATGTCAGTATTTACTACAGAGCTGTAGTAGCCAAAAATGTCCCAGTAACAGAGTGACTGGATAGCGCTGAGGTCCTAGATAAGTCCTTACGTAGATGCCAAGGTATTCTCAACAAGGGTGTCAAAACCATTCAATGACGAATGACAAGTCTTTCAACCAATGAAATTACTAAGACTTAATGCTCATATTTATAGAGTGAAACTGAGCCTTTACCTTATAAAATGTCACACCAAATGCATCAGAGATCTAGATCTAAGAATTAGGACCCTAGAGTCAGAGGGGTAGGAGAGGGAGGAGAAAGAAAGGTAATTTTAAAAGTGTTGAGTGCAAGTACCAGCTCCACACAATGAATTTGAACTTACAAAGCAAAGTTAGGCTAGTAAAAAATATGTAAACTTAATAAATGTTAGGTGAAAATCTTCATGTTTGCTTTTCTTATGATTGCTTTGGGAGCAACCCAAACACAAACAAGAGAGAAAAAAAATAGATTTGAACTGCAACCAAGTTAATAAGGTGTGCACCTCAGTCTACGAGTGTTAGACATCCTTGTTTCCTAGGATTTGAACCTTCTATTCCCAAAGAGCGACCACTGGGAATGTCTATTTGTCATAAACCAGGGTAGCTAAGCTGAGAATATTACCATGAGGAAGACTCGTGTGTGTGAATATGCCTTATGTGCACTTTTGGACAGGAGATAGTTTAAGTTTGCATGTTCATTTGAAGTGTGTTCTCTTAAAGCTTTATCAGTCCTATTTTTCTCAGTGCCTTTAGAGAACAAGAACTTTAGTAGAACATTACTATTTATTTTGCTGGGTGAGGGGATAGTGCTAATTCACTTGACAATCTGCTTAAACGCTATAAGAAATGTGGATTTCAAGGGTCTCCGTACTAAAATTCATCTTTCATAATACGTTTAACTGTAGCTTATTTATTATAAAATCAAAGTGAATATATTCACCTGTGCATATTTGCTTATATACATGTATTTTTAACATATATTTTTCTGAAAAATACAAGCTGTGTATCTTACTCTTTATTTCTTTACAGTTTTATCAGAGAAAATAGTTTTAACCAGGACTGCCCTAAGAAAAATTCAAATAGATCAGATATGTTTTCTGATTTAGAAACCATTTTTAATGCAATGTAATTTATTCAATGTATTTCTTTATATCAGATATTGCATCAAAGCCATGTTAAGCTGTCCTTATTGTCTTTGTCTTGCCCACTTTTACATTTTTTGCTAAATGTGTGCGACGCATCACGATTGCATTCCTGCAGGGAGTTGGTTCACGCTCACAAAACGTCTCAATGCTTTCTTCATCCACCGGCCCCTCCCTCCCCACTTCCTCCATCTCTTGCTTTCCTTTCCTGAATGTTAAACTCGAACTCCCCATGAGGAAAGTAATTATTGCCCACTGCAAACCTCTACTAATAAAAATGTTTTTAAAAAGATAACAGCCACATCTTGGAAGCCCGTGGCGTGGCGTGCGCTCATTTCAACCTCACGGTGCTGCCGGTGCTGACTTCTGCGATTGGCTCCGTGAGCGACGCACACATGCTTGTAGCTCTAAGTGTCAAACAGCAAAGCACTATATTTATTCTTAGTCAATAAAACTTGTAGTTCAGAAAAGATAAGGAACCATAATGTAGAATGTCTACATAGTTCCAGTTTAATCTTTTTGCTCCTCTATTTTTCTATTTGAAAATGCACAGATTTGTGTTACTTTGAGCTAAAGAGAATGCTGGTAAAATACAATATTTCATAAAGAGACTCTATTTCAAAGACGTAAACTGAAGTAAAGAGCTCTAAAATGTTTGTTCTAGTTCAGCCTTATGAAAGCGCCAAGGACATCTTTATAATATGTATATGGAGTTGTATGTTTGCATCCTTTGCAGAGCTAAGACAAAGCGAAGGGCCCCATGAATCCTAGAAAATCACCACACCATGGAGATATACCCCCAGGCTCGGATATTATTTAGTCAGCCAATGTGTCATCTCACGAAGGCTACAGGACATTAGTTTGAGCCGCAAGAGAAAGTTCCAGAATTACTGATTGAACAGTTGCATCACTTTTACTGATTTAACTCCCACTGAAATATGAAAAAAAAAACTTAAAAATTATTTATTTATATATACTTTTGCAATAAAAATTGTCTGGTTATAAAATTATTTCTGGAAATTTATATGTTGTATATTAAAATACAGCCTTCATTAAATATGATTCATTTCCTTTTTTTGAGAAAAGATGTCGCTGTGTAGTTCAGGCTGACCTTGAACTCACTGTGGAGCCCAGGCTGGCCTCAAACTTGCCGTGATCCCCCTGCCTCAGCTGCTGAGGGCTGGGATTACCTGTGTGAGACACCACACCCAGCGTTCATCTACACTTTAATATTGAGACATATTGCTACATTTATAAATACCTTTTATAATTTAAAAGCTGCTTCTTGGAATAGTTACAGGTATTAATTATACTGACGTGCCTATGTTTGTCTTTTTTCCTCTAGGCTGTACTTTGGAGGTACAAATTTTCTCAGCTTAAAGGTTCTTCAGATGATGGCAAGAGCAAAATCAAATTTTTGTTTCAGAATCCAGATACTAAACAGATTGAAGCAAAGGTAAACACAAGAAAGTCATCACACCATGCATTTCTGATTTCATCCATGCAATTAGAAGGGAAGGAGAAGGTTTAGCAAAAGCAAAAAGTGAGAACATTCTCTGTTTATCTCTCTCATAGCCAAAAGATTGAATTCGCATTAAGCTTTTAATGGTAAATTTTTACTGAAAGGCATCACGTACGCTCAATTAATTGCATTTCCTAGTTTTAATTCTTCATGAACCACCTTTGTGTCACATCTAAACTAACACCCTAGAAGCTAAATGGATCACCTGTTGGTCTCACATTCTAGACAATGTAGAATAGTGTGAGAGAAATTCACTGTAGTTTATCATTATTTTTTCCTTAAGTAGTTAACAAATGCTCCCACATGAAATTATTTTCAAAGTCAGTTTTCCCCATGTAATTATGTTTTAAAAAGAGATTAAGTGAAGTTTAGTTTTCCCCTCATGAAAAGTCTTAATATTTTTTTAACATACTAGCTATGCTGGTTTTGATTCATTAGAAAGATTCAGTGTTTATATTCCAAAGAGAATATATATTTGTAAATATTCAAACATTTAAGGTTTTTTTTTCATTTTTCTAATATATAATTTACAATCAGTGTGTTTCAGGAAGAATAAATTATGCAAATATTATCCCAATGTGGAAGAGAGAATACACAGTAAATAGTAAAATTAAAAATTAATTCTGTGGACATGAAAATCCAACATAGTTTTCAGTGATGAGTCTGAATCAGCACACATCTGTTATATTCCTTTATTTATTGAATTCAAGGTGAGAAGCTTCATCCTATATCCAAGCCCTTCCTCGTCGGAGGCCCTGGGTGTGATACCCAGACAGTCTTTATAGCACGGCTCTTCATCCAGGTCAGACTCGGGTCTTTGAACGTGCTGATGCCCTCTTTGCCATTTGCATTTCGGCTTCATTGCTGTTCAGTTTGCTCTGGGGAATCCATATTCTTGTTTTTTACTTGTCTTCACGCTTTTCTTTGCTTCCTCTTCCTATACGGAAGGTGGTTTAACGTGGGATCGGTGGATTTAGTACTTCTGCACTGGTGTCCTTCCTACTAGCATTTCTCTCAAGCGCTGGTGCTACCACAGCTCTGTCCTGTACTTGTATCCACCAAGTTAGACGAACGCCTCGATGACTTCTTCGGCTTACTTCCTGGGCTGCTTCTGTCATTTTCGGGTCTTGGCTCTCTGAATATGCTCTTCCCACTGTGCACACTCTCTGTGCCACTGTCTTTCTTCTCTGTCTCTTGATCCAATGCCCTCTCCCCCACCACCATCACTAGTGGATCATTTATTTTAGGTCATCTATTTGCACTGTTGTTCACATGGATTCTTGCTGTTACTATCAAAAGATAACTTACAATTGTACAAAAATATTTACTTTAGCTCTTGCTAGAATTTTCACTGTTTCCTTTATTTTTTCATTCGTTTTAATGAGAAGGATTTAATAGCAATGAGACAGTTTCAAAACAGTTTAGTAGGATGGTTACAATAATTAATACATTACATATTGTTGTCTTTGTAGTAGTTATTCAGAGGACAAGACGGAGACATGATATCGTGTCTAAATTACTACAAACTTTTCTTCTCAATGACCTGAAAGTAGCTGCATATCTATCCTAACTATCATGTATATATTTTTTTCTTGTTTTTTCAAAACAAAATGGTCCTTTATTTATACCTTTGTAAAGTTAGTAACGCTTGACACTAGGTTGCCTAGCAACTTAACTCAGTTGTTTAAAGCACCTGCTGGGGCACGCTCAGTCTGGCGCAGGGGACTATGGTCCGATCCTCAGCTAGACCTGCCCGTAAGGCAGTCTGAGCCGGTCAAAAACAAAATCCTTCTCAGCCTTTCAAAATATAGCATAGAAGTCAATACTGGTGAGGTCTTGTTAATATAAGTTCTATATTCTTCTGAATAGCGGGGAAACTTGTCTACCAGTTGCTGATAGCAGGGTACTATTTCAATTTTAGTTATTTCACATCTAAAAGCTTTTATTTTTTTATTTATTTATTT